GACTTTCATTTTGCTTTTGGGAATCTTTTCATTTGACTAGTGTCCACTGAGATCCGTTAGGTGTTAGGCTTCCTGGATATGGACCCCGGGCTCATCGTAACCTGTGGTTAGACACGCTGAGTGTCTCATAGTGGCACTCGCGTATCTACTCGTTATCCTCCCAACTTTAGTTCATGTGAATTTGCAATCTTCTTTTTGGCTCTGGTAGCAACGTTCCAATCTGTATTCTACGTTTTTTCTCAAATGGACAGTCGTGAGACAGCCCGGAAATAAATCAAAAACTGATACCACAAAATACAAATGCTTACCGTTCCTTATATCTACTTAAAGTGAAGTCCGCGCTTGAGATGTGGATACATTAATAAACCGAGAATGATAAACACCGTTCACAAAAGACCCCCTTAAACACACCGTTTCCTAACAAGCTATAAACGAAACCCGTAGTTCTTGAGCCTCGAACGTGGTAATTATGTCGAATGTTGCAGCGGTAATAAACTGATGATGCAGGGATGTGTATTTTCGTGAACGGTATTTATTATCCTCGGCATGTTTATGCATCCGGTTCTCATGATCCGAGTTTACTTGTGAATGTAAAAAAGTGCATCGTTTGTATTGCTTTTGAGAGTTTTACCCACAGGAGTATCGCATGTTTTACGGAAACACCGATGCTGTACGAGATGTTTTTGACGATACGGCCACATCGCTTAAACCTTCCCCAATCAACATGTGGGGCAGTGTGCGACAGTTACACTTTCTCTTTCCTAACCAAGCTTTTCAACATTTGTTGACTTCAGAATATTCCAATACTTTTTGATCTGACTCACCTACTGCAGCGTGTCAAAGTTTGTGTGTGCAGGTTAAAGGATTACGGGTCGTGGCTAAAGCATTGTGGGCTTCGGCTAAAGCTTGATGGGACAAGATGTAGTACTAGGCTTCTTTCAATGTAAATTCACAATGTGATATATCCTTATGCGGCCCCTATAATGTTCACTCACATTTTTGTCATTTTGTTTTATTCCATTTTTCAGATTGTTCGCATGAATCCCAAGTTGGGTTTGCTTTATTTGGTCGGCCCAACCCCGGGACCGGTGCATTCTTACTGTATGATCCACGATTCATGGCTAGTCAATCGACGACATGCACTGGCCCAGAATCCACCTCCTGTTCCCACTTGGTTCCCATCAGAAGACGCACCCGCCTCGTCAGTTGATTCAAGCTCATCAGACTATTTCGATCAGGACATCTATCATGAAATGCTTCATCGAAGTGACGATGAGACTATATTCTACGAAGGCGATTCGGGCAATTGAAAAAATTCTTTGCTATTGAACGAACCTCTTCTCTTTTTCGAACGTTTGCGTTTGTCTCGTGAGGGGGTGGGTGGGATTACCGAAGGTTTGGGTTCTCGCAGTTACACTCCTGTAGATGATTCTTGATATCCTATTTCGTCGAACTGTATATCTCACAGAAAACAGGCACGACTGTCTTCCGAACGCTATGATCTTTGTTCCACCTCCGTCGACAGCATGAATTAGTACCGGAAGAAATACATTCTATCAGCTCATCTACCACGTTACCTTGTTAGTATTCTGTTCTACTAGTGCCTAATTTAGGTAACTCACAACAAATTCACGTTGAGTAACGCACGCACACACCCACCAAAACTGTTCTCAACTATAAAATCTTGAACATATTCACTGGAGTTTTAGAACAAGTTCAGATTTCCAGTGGTCACCACATACGCACCGGCACATTGATCACTGAAGTATCAATCTCCTCTATGATTGCCTGGATGTTCGACGTTTGCTAATGCCATTGATCGATGGGAGTTCCAACTGAAACAATGTAACGCCGGTTTAGTATAGGATAAACGATTAGTCTGGACTTCTTAACAAAAGCCGGTCCATTTTATCAATAATGCTTCGTTGTCATTCACTACCCCACTCCCATTTGTGGTCTCCGTTCTCTCATGACGGTCACTTCATCGTCCTTATCGTCTCCACATTTGCGGTATTAGTTCATGCAATCTACCAACTCTTCTTGTCGCATCACGTTATTATTCATTGCAAATCGGCTGGTATCAGTCATGCCCGGGATCAATTTGGCCTTATCGCATGGCCAGATGATTGGGTGACTTCATTTTTGAATTCGATAGTCCACGAGTTAATGCTACATAAGGACTTGTTACTATCAAACTCATGCGAATGCTAGCAGCCACTCACGTGACTGTCTGGGGCACAACACACAACTCACAATGGGTGTTAACAATTCCACTGAGTTGGAAACTACATCCAGAGGAGAAGGAAACGTTTTCCCCAGTATGTGTACCATTCCCTGAAGTGATTCACTTCTATCGGCATCTAGAATTGGATAATCGCATTTTCTCGGCAAACGGAGACATGTGGATATTTTATTTAATCTTACTCTTGGATAGACGATTAGAAGTATACATGTTTTTCAACCACACCCCCGCTCGCTCGCTATAGCATGCTTCTACCTTATAACGACTGCACACAGTTCCTTACATCTGTTCTCAATATATAAAAGAATATGAGGTCAGTTTATGTGAATAAACTGGTCACACCAATCAGGATTGCAACGGTGAGAATAGGAAATCTCAGTTTACCCGTGCCTCGTATCTACACTGATGAAATATCAAACCAAGTATTAGCATAGTTGTTATCTTGTATCCAATTACGGGTTAAGGTGGCATGTTCGTTGCGGGCTGATAATTGTTGCGCGGGAATAAATTGATTTGCCTGATCTGGAGGAAGCATACGGCCTTCAACTGTCAAGTGGAGATCTGGATAAGTTCCAACCATTTCTGGATAGCTTGAATGCCAGCGTAGCCACATACGGTATGCGTGTAAAGTGCTACTACAAGATTTAGTTGGTCCAGTACCCAAATTCACTATAACTGGGGAAGTAATAGAGCAAGTGGATGAGTTTTGTTATTTGGGCAGCTACATCTCATCCGGTGTACGCATCACGGATGAAGTGTCGGCACGCACTCAGAAGGCTCGATTGGCATGTGCCAACTGGTTGCATCTGGTGCCGTTGCGACATACGGCTGTGCGTGAACGGTCGAGTGTATACTGTCAGTGGTGCTGATATACGGAGAGGAAACTTGACCATCACGAAAAACAGCATAAAGATGGACTAGCGGTGTTTGAACGCTGTCGTCTACGCCGCATTGCACGAATCTAGTGGGGCAACCGGATGAGCCATGCGGAGGTTGGTCGCAGAGTTTTAGGTAGTCCCGGTAACTCACTGGATTGAGTGGTTCACTTCTACAGATTTCGCTAGTTGGAGCGTGTCACCATTTGGATTTCCACAGCGTGCGATGTTTGCCGAGATAGGTAGCGAGCGGAAAGTGTTGAGAGTGGTCATTACTAATTCCTGGTACGAGGATAGGAAAACCCTAAGCTGGAGACTCATTCATATAGGTCGTTTTCGGCTGCTTGGATGAGAACCTCGGGATCAGCCTAACCGATTGTAAAAGACACTGAGTCATGTGATTGAATGGCGCTCGTGCTCCTTGCAACCTTAGTCTAGTAGAATCTTCTCTTTGATACTCTTCAGAACACTCTACTGTTCCTTCATCTAAATGAGCAGCAACCAAAACTGGCCCACAAAAGTGCATGGTTAATGGTTGTAAAAACTGAAAGTGAAACTAAGTCTGCGGATTGGTTACACTTATAGAATCCTCCATCCAACTGCACTGAGCTCTATCAGGGAGGCGGTGAACCCGTTGTTTTCGGAACGGTCTTTGATGCATGCAACTTGGGTTCCAAGGCATCATTCAATTAGAAGTGACCTGGCCTGACAGGACGGAAAATGTTTGAACAGGTATTTCGTCCGACGCACAAATTCGATTCCTCTAATCTTCGGTCGTTTCCAGCTTCGATCTGTGTGTGTTGCGAAAATGCGGTTTCGTGAACTAATACTTGCATTTTCCTGCTGATCGTAGTACTTGCTGTAACTCGTCTTCCACAATCTGAATCGCAAAGGTGCCGGGTTTTTTTACAGCCGATCAAAATGTCACTGTAGTGTGAAAAACGGTTCATATGAAAAATGATCGACACAGTGAGACGAGGTGGTTTGCACAAAACGAAGAGGTCTCCGAATCCTCGACAATAGGCAAGCACTTGATTTCCGGGCGAGCTACAGGGGAGTAACTCCGAGTTATATTTGCCAGGTAATTCACCGAATAGGAGAGTTCGACCACCAAAGTTCATCATAACTACCACGACCCGGGGGCAACAAACCCCTTAAAAAATTGAAGTTTATTTTGGGAAATTGTCAAGTTGAAAATCTATAAGAGCGAAACGCCGGGGTTGGATCCGCTTTTGTTCAGTGCGCGTCATTCAGCAAACGGTTGCACGATGCTCTCTACCCCTGGTTATTCATCTGCCTTCCGGCGCCCTTTCTGTGTTGGAATAAATCACATCTTGTCGAGCTCGCTACGGGTTGACGAGAGTTATCGCATGGTTGACTTCAAATAAATAAACACGTATCGGTTACTGCACGCTACAGTCAAGGCAACGCTGGTCCCACTTCCTCAGATATTGACGGTTGCTGAAAACACAAAAGGCTGCCACATGAACTACCACCAGAGACAAATTAAGTGCTTGTGGTTTACTCCGAACGGTAATTCAAAATAATTCGAATATCAAAATTCCTCGAATGGCTCCGATCGGAGTTGTTTAGCCGCATGAAGCCAACCCGATGAAAAGCAATTATAGAGTAATTGTAAGAACCGGGTGTTGCGATACCCGACAGAAAACCAGTGATTCGATGGAAATGAACACCTGTACGTTCTCTATTGAAGTAATCAATCGTTTTTGAATTTTCATCAAATTTTGTGAAATTTCAAAAGGGATAAAATGACTTCAGCACATATTTAGTGGTTCATTCTAAGACCCCATTTTGGGGGACCAACCCATAATTTCTGTTGAGATATACTCAGTACTACTGTATTGATTTTCAACTCTGTCCGCTGAGTCATTGAATGTGTTCCAATAACATTGGATTCGAAGTGTAATGAATATATTTAATAACACATTAAAATTCTTGATTTAATAGGACAGGCCTCCACACAAAAAGACAACCACTCATTCTCGTTTGCGAATCATTGGGGTGATCTTTGGTGAACGGGGTGGTTCAACAATCACTAGTGTTATTAGATACTATTCACATTTGTGAGCAGCACGTAAAAGGATGCGTCTGGCAGTTTCTTTCAATGGTACAAAATGGATAAGACCTCTTAGAGCGAATTGTTGTATTCGAAATGATAACTGTGAACTGTTTTATTCATTATCCGGGAATTGCGATGACGTGTTATAATAGAGACATCTTGTTATATGTACGCCAAATTATCCATAACATAACAGCATAACTCCTCAAACCAGCACTGGTCTTCGGGAATTATAACATGTGGTGATCGCGCACCGGGTACGCACGCACCACGGTAAAGGTAACCAATCAGGAAACGGATTTACCGACCAATCCGTGGTAAAATGTGGCACAAATCGGATTGGTTAAATGCAAGAAGGCAACCAAATAAACCATATCCTTGTCAATTGGACATTGAAGAATCGACCAATGATTGTTGGATGCTTGTGATATTTATTTGTATGATTTTCCGAATAGAATTAGCTGTATCCACTGGTAGTCTTGGTTTTACTTGGTTTTGCGCTATTCAGTAGGTTTGCAGACCGAATCCGAGTTCGCGCTATTCGATTCCAACTCCTATTATCATCCCAGTTACTGGGATATCTGCAAAAGTTGAAGTACGCAACGATCACATATCAAGAACCACGGGAGCCACGTAAGCACTGGATTACACTGGCGCTTGCACGACGATATCCCACGCAACCGAGACTCAAGGAAAAGGTCAGAGGAATGGCAACTCATTTATTGAATGAAATCATGGGGTTTAAATAACATGGATAAAACAAGTTCATTGGTCATCTAAGCGTGTAACAATCACGTGCTCGTAGTCCTGGAGTCGTACATCTTCTGTCTGGGCCGCAAGGCTCCCGATTGTTTAGCACAGTAGACCTATGGTTCGTAGTCTAGAAGCTGTAAGACGTAGGCTCTTTGCCTGCGTCACCTGGAGAGTTTGACTGATCACAGTTGTCCGGAAAATAAAACGTGTCAGTCCGTAAGCTATAAGATCACCACAGTAGCCTTCGTGGTTGAGCTAGCTGAATTATTGAATCCCTTCCATCCATTTCATCAATGCAGAAAGGAGAAAAACCTCGCGTGATGTTGACACAGTCAGTGTCTGAGTAATTACGACCAGATT